TTAAAACTAGAATGTGTCGAGAGAAGGACAGTGAAGATGGTGAGGAACCTGGAGACCAAGTCCTATGAGAGAAAGGTTGAAGGCGTTGGGTGCCTTCAGTCTAGAGAACATGCAATAAGATTGCCATATTCAAATATTTGAAAGTAGGTTGGACGGTAGGATTCTAAAGCATAGCAGTCAGATTGTACCAAAAGGATTTTATAAAGAAAATAAAAATTAAAAGCATTAGAGAAAACAATAGTAGAAGGCCATCTGAAGGTACTACAGTACGCACTAAATGGTGGCCTTTAAGAGGGGCGACCTTCTTTCTTATATCCCATTCCAGTTTGAAACGTGAACTAAAAATACACACTGGAATATTATTTCCATGATCCAAGTTAAAATAGCAAAGGCATGTAGAAAGGCACTTTCAGTGGTTTCCCCACCAACTATAGAACTATTCCCTACAGTGGTACCTTGGGTTACAGATGCTTCAGGTTACAGACTCCGCTAACCCAGAATTAGTACCTTGGGTTAAGAACTTTGCTGCAAAATGAGAACAGAAATCGTGCTCCGGCGGCATGGCAGCAGCAGGAGGCCCCATTCGCTAAAGTGGTACCTCAGGTTAAGAACAGTTTCAGGTTAAGAACGGACCTCCAGAACGAATTAAGTTCTTAACCTGAGGTACCACTGTATTTGTAACTAAGGATGAAGCAGTTATCAGAACATTCCCAAGGTATCGCTTGATGGCCAGGGCCATTGTCATCCAAGTTGTTTGCCACCATTCATTTCTTCAAACAAAGAAGCCAAAACTGAATGGATATTTTAAAATTTGTATCCCCTCTTCAACCCCTGTTGCAGAGCTGTGTAAGACCAGAATAAAAGGATAGCATTCAACATTGCACAAGACTTCCACCTGTGGAACAGAACTTCCCCTTCTTGCTCCCTAATTTGCTCTGGAGGGACCCTCAACGCGCTGCAGCGTATCTGAATGGGTGCAGGGGGAGGGGGAAGTTATGTTGAGCGGGCTGAAGTTGGTTCTGCTTGCACACGGACACCACTAGTTACAATTCAAAATCTTGTAAATATATTGAAGCAATAAAAACAGCACAGCTGTTTGGAACTGGCTGCAAATAAATCCTTGGGTGGGCAGCAGAAGAGGTCATAAGAGCTTTGGGGATCTTCAATGCAATCTGATTCTTTTAGTGTTGTTTTCTTTTCTGTTATTAAGGGAATAATTTTGATAAACGATGTTTAAGCAGAAACCTTACCAAACTAAACTACTAAATTTAACTGAAAACTTTGCTGTAGATTGCATCTTCTCTGTATATTTGTTTGATGTGGCTAAACGGTTTGAAGAGGTTATGCAAGTGGCAAGTTTTTTTTAAAAAAAATAAATACATACAGCAAGCCAGTTATTTGTTACAGAGCATTACCATGAGAGTCATTCTGTAAGATACCCTACTGTGAAGGGGCACTAAAGGAGTTCCACTAAACAAACTCTGAATAAAGACTTTTCTGTTCTCTTCTATGAGGGGGAACTGATAAACCTCTAGTCATTGGAAATGACTGCGCAATGCTTGAATTACACACACATGCATGTACTGTGATGCACTATCACATGATACTTTACTTTTCCAAGAATAACCTAATAAAATGAAAATACTTCATAACCATGAACTTTTGCGTCTTAAAAGTTAGTTATTTGGCAGTCTATAATGAGATTTAAAATCTTAATTGTTTACTGAAGGAGAGAGATTATTAAATAAGCTGTTTTCCTTTAAATGCCAACACTTTTCCAAAAATATATTTTTAAAAACCTACTATATGTATTTTATTTACTATGGGCCAAATGAATTTCGCATATGTGAGAAGAAAATTGGCATCAACCACATGTGAAATAAACTCTTGGCAGGCAAAGTACAACTGCTTGCCATTTAGAAGATTGGATTCAGGAGAAATGCCTTTTATTTTTTCTCAAATCAGGAAACTTAGCAGAAGGAAAACGGAAGTGACTTTTCAGGTAATGCTCTGTAGCAAAGTTGTATCATCCTGAAGGCCTCATTTACTTAACTTTACTCCAATCATCAGCTTACTGTGGAGATTCTATGCCAGTTTAAATACAAAGAGAGGAAATCATGAAACATCGCTCTCATTGATGCAGCATTTGCGAATTGAGGGTTGCCCTTCCCATTTGTCAGTAAAAACAATGATTCACAACATCCCAACAGCCGATTATATTGTCATGCCTTCCCCACTTCCAAGCAGTGGGGAGTTTAAGGGGGTTCCTTTGTCTGGTTTTTTTCCCCCCCTTTGTAAGGAGTTCATGTGAGTACATATTACGAGTATATACCAGGAGAAGAAAGTACCTTTTTAAAAATTACTCAAAACAGCAAATGGTTCTTTTTTCCAACAACTTCTGACAATTGGCCAATCTCAGTCAGGAGTAAACTAAAAGTAGAAGAAAAGCTCTAATAGTGCACGTAACAGAAGGAGAGTATATAACTGTGCACCTTTAGAGGCAAGCAGTTCAGCAGTTACCCTTTGCCATGGTAACCTAGAGCCAAAGCAAAATTCTGTGCATAAACCTGTATATCTCACTTTCCCTTTTCCTTGCTGTTTTCATTAACTTTTAAAGGTCCTGGCAGATTGTCAGGCAGATGTTTTCACTTTGCATTGCTATTTCAGCACCAACCACGCAATCCAGAACGGTTTGACTACAATTTTTATGAAAACTACCTTGCATTTGATTTTCTGCATCTTCCAAGGTAAATTGTTTAGGGCAGGTAAGAACAAGGGCATGACAACAGCTAATGGTGGCTAGGTGGATTATAGGAATTGTCTACTAAGCTCTCATTCTGATTTGCATTCATTGACTTTTACTGCAACTTGCTTTTCAGTTGCAACACACATTAAAAACAAAGCATGCTTGTAAAAGCTTAAAAAGAAGAACTGCATCCCTTAATGCTCACTTTCCAGCAAAGCGTTCAAGTGGCAGAATGCCAGGAGAAACCCTGAATCCTTTTGCTCCTCTGCACAAAACCCCTCCTGACCATTTCCAATAGAGAAATTTGATGTGTGAACTAGCAGTTGTTGCTACATATATACACTGAAATATACACTGCTGAAATGTTCATAGTAACTCCAATGCCTTAAGACTGACCCTGGCAATCTGAAGAGAAGTAGCAGATTGTGCCAGCATCTTTTTACATCAACAAGTGTGTGCCAATGGAACAAAAAAGGACTATGCCACAAGCAAAAGGGGAAAAATCGTCTCTCTCTCTCTCTCTCTCTCTCTCTCTGTGTGTGTGTGTGTGTGTGTGTGTGGAGGGAGAGAGAGAGAGAGAGAGGAGGCTGCGGGAATTAGGGCATGTAGAATTTTTCAACTTTCAAATTCCAAAAATAAGGAGTGAAGAAGAAATTTGCAAAAATTAACTTTCACCCCCTAAAATGACACACCCTACTGGGGGATGTCCAAATTAGCCACCCCAAGTTAAGAAGAGACACCCCTTCAAATAGATGCTGTATTTAATGCAAGGATGGCCAACTTGTAATCCAACAACATCTGGAGGGCCACAATTTCCAACCCCCCTCAGAACTAGTGATACTGGCTGGCACTGATGGGAATTGGAGTCCAACAACAACTCAAGGAGTATTGACTCTCCTCTCCTGTTTTATGAGGATGAAACAAAAATGTTTTAGGTGAAGTATTTATTGAACATAATTTTACTACTTCTTTTTTTAAAAAAAACTTGCCATCTGAAAATTATGTTCAAAAGTATGTTACAGAGAAAGAGGGGAAAAACTTGCACAGTACAAAAGCCAAAATAAACAAACATAAACCCATTTACAACACACTTACTACAAAGATAAGAATGTGCAGTGGTACCTCGGGTTACATATGCTTCAGGTTACAGACTCCGCTAACCCAGAAATAGTACCTCAGGTTAAGAACTTTGCTTCAGGGTGAGAACAGAAATCGTGTGGCGGCAGCAGGAGGCCCCATTAGCTAAAGTGGTGCTTCAGGTTAAGAACAGACCTCCAGAACGAATTAAGTTCTTAACCCGAGGTACCACTGTATATAGAATTTAACCAGAAGATGTCAAGAGTTAAATTCCATCAAGAAACAGAAAAATTGGTCAGTGACAAGAAAATATTTAAGGTGGCATTCCAAACTCAAGGTACCACACTGGAGCCTAGTAACTATCCCCTTAACTTCTGAAGTTGGGGTTTCTTGAATAAAGATTTTGTTGCTGATCCCATATATACTTGCCTACACAATGAAAAGATTGTTCTTCACGTAACAAGGTCATATATACGACAAAACCAGCACTTTGAAATTGTGTATGAGTGTCTTTCAACAATACACGCCAGAATTTGGTTGTCACATTTTTACCTAGAGGTAGCTTATAAATTCCTTTCATGGGTTGCATACACAACATAAAATACATGGTGACAGTCTTCCATGGACAATACCAAGGCATGGGGTGAAATGCATGTCCTCCCACTAAATCTGCCCAGAAAGGTCTCCTAATCCTGCGTGGGAGACTGCAGCGGAAGGGGAAGCCAACAAGGGGGATATAGCTTCCAAAACTTAAGAACGTAAGAGATTTACTGAATCAGACCAAACCTGTCCAGCAGTCTGCATTTTACAGTGGCCAACCAGATGCCTCTGAACATCTCAGGGGCAGGACATGAAGGCAAAAGCCCTTTCCTACTGTTGCTCTCCAGCAACTCCCTGAACCTGGAGGTAGCAGATAGCCATCAGAATTAGTAGCATTGGATTAGGGTGGTCAGGTGTCCCCATATCACACCAGAAAGCCTGCTCCAGTATGTCCTGTCCTGGTGTTCTCCTTTGCTAGTATTAAAAGGGGCCAGTGGGAGGTAGTCTTGTTTGTCTGTCTCTAATTGCTTTACAAGCCTGCTCACAGCTCAGGGAGATTTCTGGGGCAGAGGGAGGGGCAACACCACAGCGGGGTCTCCTCATGCTCCCTCACTAATTTCCCAAGTCAAGAGCAAAACAGAATCTGCTCCTCCCCACCTGAGCAGCTGCAGATTTGGATAGGAGAAAGGCAGGCATGAGGGAGGAACTATTTGGACTGGAAGATAAGTGAGCAATGCCGAACTGCACTTTGCCTAGTGCCTTTGCTATTTTGCTTGAATTTCCTAAACTCCATTGAAGTTTGAAGCAGCAGCAAGATGCCTGAAAGGTAGGCAAGACAGGTTTTTTTCTCACAACAAGAACTAGGTTCTGGGGTTTTTGGGGGGCGGCAGTGTTACAAACTGAGATAGAAAAGCTGGGAGCCCAATGGCTTACTGGACCTGGGTTGCGGGTGCCAAACAGAATGTCTAGTTGCCATGTGGGGGGTGGGGGGTGTCAGCAACACTTTTTACTAATTATTTTGATAAGCATGAATTAATACACAATTCACATAAGTGACACATTGTTAATATCACATTTTTAGCAGAAATTGATAATACATGTTTAATTTGGTGTTTACAACAAAAATACTGGTACCAAACTTCAGTTTTCAAAACACTACTCTTTACTGTTAAACTCCTTAACATATTGCCTACCCTTAACATATACTTTGAGGCTTCAAACCACATACATTTCAGTAATCCTTGCATGTCAGCCATGCACAAAAAATAGCACCCAGACTTTTTGAGGCGCTCGCAAATGGAGAATCTTTAGGTGCAAACTGCGCCTGGTGCCCTGCTAATTTTGAACCCTTGGGAGAGGATGCTGGTGTCTATTCTTCTGATTTACAAGTAGTGCTCCATTCCTACTACTTGTGATCTAACACAGCAGTATTGTCATCTGTGCAAAACTTCCCAGAGGTAGCTGACTTTACTTCCTTTGCTAACTGAAAAGCTTGGTGCTGATGTTTGTGTAAATTCTGTCAATACCAAATATTAGATCTCTCAGTGGAGCAGCAACTCTGTTAATTTTTTATTTTTCACTCTATTGGCATATTAAGACAACCAACTATATGACCTTCTATATGCTTGATTAATAATAATGCTTTCTACCAATTTACCACAGAATAGATTGTAATCTCCTGGATTCTTCTCCCCACCAATCCACTTTTTAAAATTTGATGCTATACTGTTTGCTTCCCACAGTCCCTCTTCGTCCATTAAAAGCTAAAGCAGCACTGTATGAAGTTCCCATGCAGGTGGCACTTAAACAAATCCCTGAACTGCACTCACTAAATTTACTTCAGCTTGATACAAAGAAAGGTCCTTACCACATCCCCGTAAAGTGAAAACAATGCCAGTTACTAACCTTATTCCATAGCAGTTCCAAAGCTCTCCCCATATTAGGATTTCAGAAAAGCTGTCTTGCACCTCACTTTTATAAGAATTATAGAACACTGTTTTATACATGCATTTCCAACAAATAAAATACCCGAAGGTTGAACTACAGGCAATTCCTGTTTTAGGAGCGACCAATATGTGCACAATCGTACACACGCGCAGAGCCCCGAACCTGGAAGTGATCTAGAAACATCAAAGACGTAACTGAAACATCACTAAAAGGGTGGAATGGGGGTAGAGTGGAACAGGGTGTTTGCAGGTGTTTTCAATGGGTTTCTGATATCACGCAAGTGCACAATGACCTGGAATGCAAAGGGATGACACTGTTGCAGAGACATTTGGTGTCAGATGCACAGAATTTGCACCTAATTTGTACAGTATCTGATTTTCATTAGAAACTAGAATTGTTTGACACAATAATTAATCCAGTGCAGTAAGATCTCATCTTCACTGTAAAGCAAGTTGTTAATCTTACTTTCCCTCTTCTCTAACAATAAAAAGAAATTTAGCTAGGACCATATTTACATGCTTCCATTTCATTTACCATGATTTAAAGTTATAAACCTGTGACGTCTCTCCAGAAATACCAAATTAAGTCAAATCATAAACTGTAATTGAGAAGAATTTGATGATCACAGCTTAGAGGATACAATAATTCCTGAGAGAAACACCATGTAAAAGAACAGATGAACTGGCAGCTACAGTTACTATTCGGCCAAATAAAGTTTTGCCAACAATTTAATACCCTTACATTTCCACTTTTTTGTATTTTTCTATGAGCAGAAATGTAAAGGTACCCCTGACGGTTAAGTCCAGTCATGGACGACTCTGGGGTTGCGGTGCTCATCTCGCTTTATTGGCCGAGGGAGCCGGTGTACAGCTTCTGGGTCATGTGGCCAGCATGACTAAGCCGCTTCTGGCAAAACCAGAGCAGAGCAAGGAAACGCCATTTACCTTCCCGCCAGATAACCTAGTTATCTACTTGCACTTTGACATGCTTTTGAACTGCTAGGATGGTAGGAATATACAGAAATATACTTGCTATGTAATACATTAATATGGATTCAACCTTCTGTTTAAGTAAGTGTTCAAAGGAACTTATACTGACCAAAACTTAAAATTCCCTTCTGGTCATATACAAGTTTAATAATAATTAGAGCAGCTAATTTGAGACTGAAGATGTCGATAATTTGAGACTGAAGATGAGATAATTAGAGCAGAATTCACTGGGTTACCTTGAAGACGAATAGTGTAGTAACACTTTTGACATATTAAAGCAATTTTTTTGGCAAAAGGCTTTTTTGTTTCTTTCACAATCTGAATTGCCAACATTCCTTCACCCAGAAGCAAGAGCTTTCATGAACATGACATCAGAGCATCACAGTGAATGAGGGAAGGGAGATGGGGCAGGATTACTGCAACACAGTAAATTGCTGCAATTAGCATGTTTTCTAAAAGGTCAGGGATATTAACATTAGTATACAGCATGATGCAAAGCCGGTAAGCCTTTGGGCTTACCTTCAAAAAGAATAGCTGACAAATTATTACATTTCATAGGATCAGGAAACACGAGTGCCTTTCAATGTTTTTTGTTAAGCCACCAAATGTGTAGAAAACGACAACAAAAATGATCAAGGAACTGGAACGTAAGAAAAGGCTGCTGGATCAGGCCTCTGGCCCATTTAGTTCATCATCATGTGCTCACAGTGGCCAGCCTTTGAGAGCCTGAAAGCAGGACTGGCGTGTAACAACACTCCCCACCTGTGTTTCCCAGCATCTGCCATAGAGGGGCATGCTGCCTCTGAGAGGAAGGAAAACATAGCCCAATTTTCCACGAATCTGTCTAATCCCCTTTTTAAAGTGGCCATCCCTTTATCTTTTGGGAGTGAATTCCATGGTTTAGCTATGCACTTTGTGAGGCAAATACCGTACTTTTCTGTACAAAAGATGTATAAGATGCCCCCTATTTTGGGGGACTCAAATTTCAGGAAATGGGGGGAGATGGCACAGAGTTGTTGAGCTCTTATGGTGGAGGATTGACCAGAGTTGTGGAGCTTTTTGTGGGGGGGATTACCCAGGGCTGCTGTTTTTTTAGGGGGGGTTGCCGATAATCACTCTCCCGCACGCGTAGCGAAATCTGCGTCTTGTCTGTCCCCTCACCAGCAGAAGCTGCCAATCACCCGCCCAAATGCCGCAGCGTCAGCAAATCAACACCACCCATTGATGCAGCAACCAGTAACACGCACAATAGCTGCTAACAGCTATGGCAGCAACCAATCAAATGCACTACCCATGTATAAGACAACCCCCATTGTTTAGCATGATTTTTAAAGAAATAAACCTAGTCTTATACACGGAAAAGTACGGTACTTTATTTTATCTGTTGTGAATCCTCCAGCATCCAGCTTCAGGGGATGGCCAAAAGTTCAAGTGCTATGTATGAGAGAGGCCGATCTGTCTCCACACCCCTTGCATAATTTTATACCTTGCCTTTCTTTCCGGCTTTCCACAGCCAGAAATAGCTCCACAGGACTATTTCGGCTCCTAAAACCTTGGAGAGGTAGCTGTCATTGCAATGCAGTTCTCTTTCCAACTGTCAAGAGACAGGGGCCAGGAGAGAGGTGGGTCAGAAAGTAAAAAGTGAAGTTGACATAAACGTATCCCAGGTGCCTAAAGGGTCTCTCTCCCCTTCTCCCTCCCCTCTCTAGAGGGCACCAAATTTTACCAGATTTATTTTAGAAGTAAAAACAGTATCTTAAAGATGATTTCCTTCCATCTCTTGGCTCAGTGTTAGGAAGCATCCAGTGAGTTGCTAACGATACACAAACAAGGTTCAGCGAAATCAGTAAAATCAGAATAGCTGAGGTATTCGTTAAAAAAAAAGCACAGTAAATAAGCACAGTAAATGAACTATTGCAGTGCCTTATCAATTTTCGAAGCAAAATATTGAGACCTAAAATCAAACATCATCAAAATAAGAAAAAGAAACCTTTTTTTTTTTTTAAAAAAAAAAAGGAGCTGAAAGACAACTTTGGCATCTCCAGTCACTAGAAAGCAGTGGTGGGAAATCTGTGATATGTGGGTCTAATTCAACCCACCAAGCCCCTCCATGAAGCCATTTCTAGCAAACTTCATCCAGCCACCAGCCACATGACATCTTCTGAATCATTTGTTAAGCATTTTGTTCTGCCTCGCCACTTTCCACACTTTTCCTAGAAGTAGACATATTTTACACACAATTCCCCCCCTAAAACTAAACATAAAATAGAAATATAAAATATATTGATTTTGTAAATATAATGCATAATATTTACATCTGTAAGTATTTAATGTTAATGTAAAATATGTACAACTACCACCCCCCCAAAAAAATTTGCCTCTTGCCATGCCCCTGGAAAGTTGACAAGGTTTAATTCCTCAGGCTGGAAGTGGTTTCCCACCCCTGTTTTAAAGCCATTGGAAAAAAAAGAGAGAAGGCAATTATATAAGGAACTCCGGAAGACGTAATAATAGGATTTCTACAGCTTCTTTTGAATCCATAAAGCTGCCAGTTAGTTACAGAATAAGTCAATGCAAATAAAAATCTTTATAGGCTTGCGCTAAGTCTTACACAATGACATTTCAAAATAGTCGTCTTATGCATGCTCTCACAAGTTTTTGTGCTTCTCTTTTTGCAGGAAGGAGAGAGGCAGATGGATGGCAGATCTAAAACCACCTTTCCATAGTAAACTACGGTGAGTGTTGATGAAAGAATTTAAGGCAAAAAAAATCTTTTAGAGTGCCGTCTAAACTATGGTCCCAATCCAAAAACTTGTAAGGACAGTTGCAGAAGCCTGAATGACCAGGGGCAGCAAAAGCTCCAGAAAAGGTGAAGTAGACTGCTGGGGGGGGGGTGGAGGGGAGAGGAAGGGAAGCTCCATCTCACATTTAATCTTTAATATGGTGTATGATACGATACAAACAGAAACAAGTTTATATCCACATTCAGACATGCTCGGCTAACAGACTGTAAGGCTATTTTTAGGGTTTGCATTTGCTCACTCTTGGCCCCTTGGTACCACCTATAGCCAAGGGGTCCCCTTTCATCTGCTCCCAGTGCTAACAATTTGAAATTATTCAGAGCATTGGACCACACTAGAGAGATGAAACTGAGTTCTCTCCAATGGCTGTGCAGAAAGTAAATGCAGGGGGCTTTCTCCCTTTGCAACAGGTTGTTGTGGCAACAATGCAGTCCTACACACACACAGCTGTCACTGGATGTCTGAATTCCCTGCCAAGAGAAGGCAGGAGTGACTTGATTTCCCTCAGATTCAGTAGCTGCAATTGTATTGCCGTGTTTGATTCTTTCAATAAAGCAAGGCAAGGCAACCTGCCCCCCCCCAAAAAACCCAGAAACCTAACATGCATCACAGCTCTGTCCAATAAGATACTGCATAAATGTGAGAGCTAAACCAGTGTTTCCCAACCGGTGTTCCGCGGCACACTAGTGTGCCGCGAGACGTTGCCTGGTGTGCCGCGGGAAAAATTAAAAAATTCGAAAGATATCCGGAGAGGCGGCCTTCAGGCGAGTTTTAATTTTAATTTTCCTTCTCCCACTTAATGTCCCACGCTCGCCTGAGCAGCTTGCAGTCCTCGGTAACCACGGTGACCCGAGGGAGGGGAGGGAACAGGGAAGTCGAGGGCGGCGGCGAGCCGCGATGACGTTAGTGGGCCGCGCCACCTCGCCCTGGCACGGTGTGAGAGCCCCGGCTAGTGGCGCGAGCTTCAGAATAAGTGGGATCCGCGTGCGTGAGACCGAGATCGCGGGTAAGGAGCTCAGCCCTGGGCAGGAGGAAGCGGGGCCGCGCGTGCGGGCCACATCCCCACAGAGAGCGAGCCTCCCCCGGCCCACCACTCCGGGCAGGTCCACTCGCATGAGGGGGCGGCGATGGCGACGGCCGGCAGCTTGCCTGCAATGCCATCCCTCGAGCAGGCGAGGAGCCCGGAGGCTACCAGATGCGAGTCCTCTTTCCCACCCTGCTCGGGAGTCCAGAGCACTTGGTCGCATTCAGGATCTAGAGTGGGGAAGCGGGGCTTGTGTCTGGGCTGGACACATTGGGCTGCCTGTGCCGCTCGACCTGCGGGGAGAAATCAGGGTGGGAGTCACGACCGTGAGGCAGGGCTGCCAAGTGTGGCAGAAGAGGACACGGCCGTCGCACCTGTCCTTAGGTAGGAGCTTCTTCTGTGTCGACCTGCTGCCCTAAAGTCTTGGCTTTTTTCTTGGCTTTTTGGCGGTTGGCACAGAAGGAAGGCAAGGGGGAGGGGAAAAAATTGAAACTTACACTTTCGTGCGTCCCTCCCGGCATGACGCTGCGCGCTGACGTCACAGGGCTGTAATGGTGGTGTGCCTCGAGATTTTTTTCATGAAACAAGTGTGCCTTTGCCCAAAAAAGGTTGGGAAACACTGAGCTAAACTACAGTGGCTGCTATTGGGAGATAAACAGAGGTGCGCATGTACACTAATAGCAATAATGATAATTGTATTATTTATACCCCACCCATCTGGCTGGGTTTCCCCAGACACTCTGGGCGGGTTAAAGTACAGTGGTACCTCAGGTTACAGACGCTTCAGGTTACACACGCTTCAGGTTACAGATTCTGCTAACCCAGAAATAGTACCTTGGGTTAAGAACTTTGCTTCAGGATGAGAACAGAAATCACATGGCGGTGGTGCGGCGGCAGCGGGAGGCCCCATTAGTGGTGCTTCATGTTAAGAACAGTTTCAGGTTAAGAACGGACTTCTAGAACGAATTAAGTTCTTAACCCGAGGTACCACTGTACATATAAAAACATAGTAAAATGTCAAACATTTAAAACTTCCTGATACAGGACTGCCTTCAGGTGTCTTCTAGAAGGTGTGTAGTTCTTTATCTCCTTGATCTGATGGGAGGGTGTTCCACAGGGAGGTTGCCACTGCCAAGAAGGTCCTCTGCCTCATTCCCCGTAACCTCACTTCTCGCAGTGAGGGAACTTCCATAAGGCCCTCAGAGGAGGACCTCAGTGTCTGGGCTGAACGATGGGGGTGGAGACGCTCCTTCAGGTATACTGAGCCGAGGCGTGAAATGAGCAAAACAGCAGCGACCCTTTACAAGTATTACAAGCCAGGAGAGATAATTCACTGCAGGAAAATCATTCCATGCTGTTATCATGCTTCTGTCCCTCCATGTCTCTCTATTAAAACACAGGCCACATTTAAACATTCTCCACCGACTGAGACTCATTTAATTTCTCATGTGACTTGTGCGTTTTGCACTGCTGCTTGGCTCTGCTCCATTTGGCTTCCAAACTAAACACTGTCTGCCATGGTTCTGGGCTGGCATTCTCTCCCTGTCTTTTCAGTTCCCAACAGTGGTTTCTACAGTCTCATTTTATTTCAAGTTCAATAGTCTTCCAGAAGAATTGCTCAACTTAGCTCTGCTAACCACAAACAAACTACATGGGCTGTCCCCAAAGGCTCAGCATAGACTGAATAGGCTAACTTCTCCCAACCCAATAATTTTAGAACCAGGAATAAAAGTGTCGCCTCTCTGAAATACTGGAACCTATTGAAAGCTGTTTAGCTCTCAGGACAGGTTTTTCCTGCTGAAACCGAAATGAGAATATTTATATATTCTACTTTAGATGCCCAATGCAGCTTCAGACCAAACTACATATTATGAGAAACCTGTGGCTTCTATCAGCAGCTCAGAGTTTCCTTGCCTCTGCCCACTTTACTGGTTCTAGCTTGCAAGCGGCAGGGAAACTCTAAGCCTGATGGTGCTGTGTGATGCATTTTATTTGATTAAAGGCAGGCACATGTTCCTTGTGTAACCTGTAGTCTGAGTCTTATACCATCACTTTGAGAATTTGTTTCATAGTGCCCAAACAGGGGTTTTTATTCTTTTCTTTTCTTTCTTTCTTTTTGGGTTTTCACATATTACATTACAATACAGATGTACCAAAACCAACACCATTTCCTCCCCATCCCCCCATACATTTACATTTACATTTCCTCAATCCATCATATTATTCTTTTGTCCTTCCTCCCACTTCCCTCCGCCCCCACTCAATTTCCTCCACATTTTACAATTTACAATAATCTTTGGATTTTTATTATTTTCATTGGGGCTTTTTTTAATAGAGTTATAAGCTTGGTGGATCAGGGGATTGCTGTGGATGCAGTGAATCTTGATTACAGTAAGGCTTTTGAAAAGGTACCCCATGAGCTTCTTGCAGAGAGGCTGGTAAAATGTGGGCTTGACGAGCTAACTGTTAGGTGGTGGATTTATAACTGGTTGACTGACCGAAACCAAACAATGTTCACTAATGGTTCCTTACTATCCTGGTAAAAAGGGACAAGAGGAGTGCCTCAGGGTTCTGTCATGGGGCCCGTTGTTGTTCAACATCTTTATAAACAACTTGGATGAAGGACTTTGACGAAGGATGCTCTGGAGGACTGGGAAACTTTCTGAACCTCATGGCACCAGGTGTGTGCGTGCAGAAATGTGTGAAAATTACCTCTCCCCCTTTCCTCCAGCAAGAATGTCTCCTGGATCAAACTGTCTTGCACAAATGAATGGAAGGAGCCTTTGAATTAATGGAAGGACATGTTTAGACCCAGTCCCATGTGTACAAAATTTGCAGATGGCAATTGTGAGGTATGGCCCAAAGTGCATCTACATCACCATCAAAACGTAACCACCCTCCCATTGTTTACTCTAACATGAACTCCTAAAGGAACTTCTGTACAGATTGGGGTCGTAAGTATACAAACATAGATGTCAGCTATTAACAGGACAGTCTTTACCCGGGGGTGCAAGGGGTGCGGGGCATCTGGGTGCTGAATTCTGGGGGGCGCCAAATGTATACGTACTGTATACCATTCCCTCTCTATCGGCAGCAGTGAAAAGCAATGAAGCAAAAGTACCCGTTCCCCTCCTCCGTGGCGCTTGGGCCAGCTGAGAGGGGCCAGCTGAGCCGTTTCTGTGAGGTGGTGCTGAGGCAAAAGCTGGTGCCCGGGCTGCCTCCTCCCTGCCCTGTTCCTGCCGTGCGAGGAAGAAGGCGGCGAGGCCCATCCACCTCAGGCTGCCATGGCTGCGCCTGCCGAGCCCAACTTCTTGGGATGGGACTTCAGCACCCAGCAGGTACCTGTGGCAAAAAAGGACATGGTGGCCTCTCCCTCCACTCTCCCTCACTTTGTGTCCCTTCTGTGGGGAAGGGTCCGCGCCCACACGGCTGTTCGCATCATTGTTACAGGTGAGCGATCCCCCCTCACAAAAAAGCTCAATTAAAGTTAATTTGGGGGCAGCTAAACTAAATTTGGGGGCACTGGGTGGATATTTGCACCCCAGCACCGCACGTGCTAAAGATGGCCCTGACTATTAAAATACAATACTCTTAAAAAGTCATCTTAGAGGAAAAGTCCTGAAACATGCAGCATTAAGAGATTGCATTTACACAGAATACAGTGACTTCATTAGTATTCAAATACTCAACAGTTTACTAGATGCAGACTTGTCTCAGGAAATTTATAGCACCTTCGGGTAAAGCAACAACACTATGTGTTTATTGAAATCTACATCTGGAAGTAATTTGTACAACTGCAACCAAATTTTTCTCTTCCAACTCCAAAGACCTACAGAGGCCTATATACCAGGCAAGTGATTGTCTGTATGTGGACACAGCATGCTATTATTTATGTTTTTAAATATAGCAA